ATTTCAGAGAAGCACTGAATCTTTACACGAGAGCTATTGCTTTGTGGCTGAATGACCACAAGCTGCTTTGTAACAAGGCCCTCTGCCATTTGAAACTTGGAGAACCAAGAAATGCTCTGGAAGATTGTCAGAAGTGCCTTATTCTAAAACCTGATTACAGCAAAGCCCTTCAACGAAAAGCTTGGGCTCTGCAAGAACTTGTTGAAGGTGGAAATAGTGAGCTTGAAGGGCAGAAACGTGCAGCAATAGCAGTGGCCCTTTACTTCGATCCCAGTCTTCGCGAAGATAAAAAGTTTCGTTACTGGTGTCCCGACGTACCAGGGCTTCGCTTCAGAGAGATAAACAATGAAACTGAGCTGACGTCTGCTTTGAAGACGACTAATGGAGACGAAACCTTGCTGTTGCATGAAGGAGAGTACCATTTGACTTCCTTTAAAACATTAAGGGACTTTCAGATTGTAGGTCTTGGACCCAAGATTTACTTGAACTGTGCTAAGATGTGCGCAATTGTTAACGCCAAATGTTATTTTGAAAATATTGTGTTTCCTGTGGGGAACGCTGTTCTCGGCTGCCTCGGAAACAATGGAGCTGTACACCTAAATCAGTGTGAGGTTTCAGGAGGAGGGAAAAGTTGTGCGGACATACCAGACTGCAACGGAGGACCAGGCTGTGTGGCGCCATCTTTGGGGAAGCCTGCTTGTGATCGGACAGGAAATTTTGGTAATTTTAAACCGGAGTCGGGCATACCCGGCTCTCCGGGAGTCGGGATTTCAGAAGGGGCTTCTGGATTGATTGAAAATTGTGTGATTTGCCATTGTGGAGGCGGAGGTGCTATTGTGGCTGGAAAAGGTTCTGAATTACTGGTAAAAAACTGTGAGGTGTACAAGAACCACTTAGCTGGATTAGAGGCAAGAGAAGGAGGAGAACTTGACGCGCTCGGAAACAAAGTATTCGGCAACGGTTATCACGGTATTTTGATTTGGAAACTCTCTGGGAAATGTGACGTCGATGGCAATAAGATTTTCGAAAATGCAAAAGAAGGGATCATCGTTGGCAATACAAAGGAAAAAATTGCCCTACATAACAACAGCATCCATCACAATAGACCCTTTGGTATTTCCCTTCATAACAGTTCTCAATTGTCTATCAACAACAATGAGATTTTTGAGAATGGATTCTGGGGAATCCTCGCTAAGGGGCGTACATCGGCACACATAGCAGGAAACGAACTCATTGGTAACAAATGTGGTGGAATTTTTATTGGTGTCAATTATTCTGGCAGGGTTATTCTGAAGGAAAATACTGTCAGAGATCACAGTGGCCCTTGGCTTGAGAATGAATTCAAAAAGGGTAGCCCGAGAATGGATTACAGTTTACTTGACGACAATGAGATTGATGCTCTGGGTTTTGACCTTCCGGAGGGTGAAAAGCATTACTATTCGACGCCTCCCATTTTGGCAGAAAATAAACATTTTAACAACGAGGAAGGCTTGCATCACCCCAGAGAGGTGGCTGAACGACTTTCCAGCGGCTGCACTTATTGTCGTCGCCGAGAAGACAAAAAAGTGCGGTTTTTGAAGTGCCCAGGATGTCTCATTGCGTCCTACTGCAGTAACGAATGCCGCCGCAACCACCGAGTTAAACATGAGACACTATGTTTGGCTCTTAAAGCTCGTTATGCTGTGGACGTTGACTGTGTTCACCTAGCTGAGCGAGGATTTTTAGCGAGGCTGCGGGTGTTTGGCTCTCACTTAGTGGGAATTGGAGAGGGTCCAAAACCAGAACCTAACAGGGAGTTCATCGTCAAAATTCAAACACAAACTCTCAACAGCCACCCACTGCAGTTGCTGACGCTTTACGACCAAAGTGTTACGATAGATTGTGTGATACAAAGTCCAGAAATCTTCAACGTGATAATGGACTGTGGCGTTCTTGGAGGGTTAAACAAGTTTACAAGCAAGAAATGTTTTTTCTGGGCCATGTTTACTGAGTCAGGAGGAAAGCTGACAATATATCTCGATCACTTGGCTCCCTATCAGAAATGGTAGAGGTCCTAGAATAGTTTAGATGTCAAAGTTTCTCGCAGTACATGAAATACCCTTAAGATTTTAAATACTGCATCTTTTTTTTTTTGAGGAGTCAAGCAGTCACCAATAGTAGTCATTTTGACCAATACTCTTTCAACACACACGAGTCAGTAGCCTTAGCTTCAGGTTTTTTGGTACAATTAAATGCGTCATTGTGTGATTAAAATCTTTTATTACCTCACAAGAACTTCAAGAACACAACCAAGCGGCTGAGATTATGAAAAATTAGTGTGCTATATATAATTCGTATGACAACGAGCGCCCTGCGTAGCAGTTCATTTCCGTTTCCGAACAAAGCGGCTGGTTGCGCGATGAAGAAGGGATCACATAGTGCGTTTCAAGTTCGCAACTTGAATTTTACAATTTTGTCATTTAGTTTATCTCAACAAAACATTGAACAGATGTCGTTGTTTGACAGATGTGATTCTTAAGAAATGAGTAACTATGAACGCATAGTACATGATAAGAATTTATTCCCCTATTTTGCGGTGCAGTGTCGAAGTGGAAAGCTGGCCTTGTGTAAAATACTTTCCAATACAATGTACTAAAGAATTAAACTTCAACGGTCGGTGGTCAGTTAACATTTGAACAAGAAGCACAGAAGTTAACACATCGCTCCTCGACTTGCACTAAGCCAACGTGTAGCTGTACCCTCTCTTCGATCGTGGAGAAACGGAAGAAGGTACGGTTGCGCGTGGCTATATCTCTTTAGCAAACTCTGTGACCTATCTTTTCTATTGTACTTCTTAATTAACCCTGTAACTCCCATGAGTGGCCAAGACAGAATTTCTCCTTACAATATCAATACAACATTAAACAGACAAGTTATGAGTTTAAAGAAAATTATCAATTAGGGAAGTTTTAGTTGATCCAGTGCCAAATTCTCCTAACCAACATCACGTATGATAACCAGTGAGGAGAATTTCCTATCAGATCCTGAAAGTAAAAGGGTTAAAACATAGAATCAACTTCGTCCCCAGGGCCTTTTCCCTTTTTCCCGCCCCACCCTCAACTAAGGGAAAAGGCCCTTGGAACGAGGTTGACTAGAATGATAGGGAAAATTCAATTCTTGAAAACTCTTCATTATGCGGTGTAGACTCCATCCAAAGCTGATTTAAAAGAGAAATTTGTTCCTTGTTTACAACCAAAGTGTAAATTAAACGCATCTGATCATGTAGAAGGTGATGAGAAAATGATGAAAATGATGGTTCGACTAAAAGGAAAAATTACGGCTATAACTATAAAAGATCTAGGAAAATTGACAAATAAAATGAATACGAAAAAAGGTCTAACGACTTACAGATATTTCCTCCTATTGACGTGAACGGGCCGAGTGAAATAACTGATGATTTAGAACAAGAACTTGCCGCAACAAAGGCCAGGCTGATATGTTATACATTGAAAAACTAGAACTTAAAAGTGTGATCAAACGAGTAACGCACTTACGTGAGAAGTCACGCACGTTTGAATCTTACATGCGGTCGAGGATAACTGGTCAGTTCCGCTGTTCAATCCTTTACCCACTCCAGTCCTGTTCCTGCATTTCTATTTTCTGAGGATGGGGAATGCCCCCTCACGTTGCTGTTGCTGGAGATGATTGGTTCAGAGGATGCGGCTTTATAAGATGCTGCCGCAGGATTTCTGTCGAACATGCGACAACTTGCAATGGCCAACGAACGACCAAGATGCCACAAAGAAACAATTTGATTTAATAATAAGTTCTTATATAGCGCATTAAAATAGTAACGAATTGGAAGCAGACACCGATTCCGTTCAACAAAATTCATCACTTAAAAATAGTACTGAGTACTCAAGTGACTTAAGTGTGAATGTTAAAGCACTCGGTGTCTGGCATCCGTCAGTTAAGTTTTGTGCTCCTGTGCGTAAAAGAGAATTTTTTCTGACCTACCGCAGTGAATGGAAACTAATGGTTCCAATGAAGAAACGATCGTCTCTTTGAATTAACCCGTCTCTGTCAGTTTAAAAAAGTCACATGGTATTGGTAAATTCCGCTATTCCATCTTTTTCTACGTTCAGTCCTGTTCCTATATTTCCTCAAATTTCCGGTTTTCCTAGAATCGAAAACAAAACTAGGGGAATACCCTGTGCGTCAATTCTCGGAAAAATGTTCAGCAGCACGTCGCCAGTTTTTGTTGAACGCTAATTTCTTGTTCGATTGCTGCGTATTTTAACGAAACTTATGACAGATAAAGTACAGGGCTTTTTTGGAAGGTAAGTTGCCATGTAAGAAAAGGATTGGGGTTCCTTGGTTGAAGCTTAAGATAATGTGTTAGTAAAAGCGTCCAACCCACCTGTTTCATCTTTGCTTATATGGATGTTATTCAACTTCGCTCGTTACTGGCGAGGTGAGGGGAATGTTTTAAGCTGTTATAAGTGAATTGAAACTATTTGATTCAATTCCAACTGGTCAGTGAGAGTGAATCATAACGGCGAAATATACCAGTGCAGAAAGTGGAAACTTTCCAACGGGGATAGGCTATACTCAAATTCATTCGATCTTTTAGTTTTTATCAGTCCAATTATGCTCTTCGAATATCAGTCAAAGTTAGCTTAATCTATGAGCAAGTCCATTTATAGCTCAGTTTGTTTTCACCTTCGGCACATTGTAAACAATTTCTGGAAGTAGTCTGACCATTTTCGTAAAACACGATGAAATCACAAACAATGTGCTTTTTCGGCACGTTCCTTTCAAGCAAGGTTCAGCACATACTAGGCTGCTGATGCATCGACTCGAGTTACTTTGATTCCCAATCTATACTAAATCACTGACTTTTGTGAGGAACTTTATCGGTTCATCGTTGGTGGGATGGAAAACTGGGAGGTTTGGGGGACGAGAGGGGAAGCTGGGCTGCTGAATACTGCCACTCATTGAGTCATTCAAGGACAACTTAATGTCTTAAAAAGGGTTAGATCTTGACAAAGAAGAAAATGATAAAGCACAAGTTTGATCCAAGCTGTAAGTAAAAATATCTACCTTCAGAAATGTTATTCTATCAAAATGGATCACTGCAAAGCTTTTTTCAAATTTAACAACTGCTATTGGTAAAATTTCACAAGAAATGGCCATTATAGCAAGTGCTTACACAAAGTATTTTGATAAGAACTGATGAATGCCTGGTTTACTTTACACACTACTGGAATGTTATTTATGTAATGCTTTCAGACTTTCATGTAAATCATATAGTCTCTGTATCTTTATTAACTTGCATGAGAACCAGATGTTCATGTACATATAAATATCAGTAATTTTTATCAGGAACTTATTTAAAGGACATACTGTTACGAAAGAAATTTTAATTGGTAATAGTTACACGTGGTTTTTTTGGAATATGTGTTTACAGTTAACTATGTATAAATGTCTAAAATGCTTAATTAATGTGGACATATTATTATTATTATTTTTGGAAGGGACATAACTTCCTAAGGGAGTATGTGGTTGAGAAAAAAATTTTTTTTTTTCTTGGTTGCAGGAGGGGAGGCATCAGGGACAAAATTAAAGGATGTGATAAAAATTTCTCCCCCATATTACTGTGGGACCCCCTTCTATCCAACAATAAGTAATGTCCAACTGTTCTATCCTGTCCCACACATTTGTGGCCTGAATTTATTTTTTAATGGAGTTTCCATTTTTTAGCATGATTGAAACAGTATCAAATGCAATTGATTATACATGGAGAATGACCCTGTCACAATACAATTGCAAATATTCTTCTGTCTACCTCTAAAAAAAAAAAACAGTGAGAGCTTTTATCTACAAGGTACAAAAGCCTTAGCTCTGAATTAATGAAGAGACCGCAAATCTCACAAAAATAAACCACATGTGAGATATATTGCGCCTTTTATAACAAATGACAGATAATATGAGATGCAGCTAGACAGTGGGAGATAAGTCAGGAGATCTAGTGAGCTCTATTGAGCTTTTTGAAAGATCCCCACAATAGTATTTCTATTCAGTTCATACAGAAGGTGTAGATAGTTCTTTATCAATAGTAACAGCTGCAGAACTGGTAAACTAAATACACAAGTTTAATATCTATAGTAATATACTTGAATAAGATAGATAAGAAAGTGTGTTCGTTGGTAAAGCAACTCATGAAAGATATCTTGTTTTCTCTATTCTATTTGACCAAACTGGTAATTTACCCATGTGTCCATCTATTTGTTGCTCATTGGTGTAGTCTTGTGGAATACAGCCAACTGATTCCAGCATGCACAGTACGTGGGTCACATACCTTTTGCATTGTGATACAAATACTTAATAACCTTTTTCCACTGGTGCAAAGAAAACTGGTGAACTGATAACAAAATCATCTATTTTATATACTTTTTAGCTGAGCTAGTTAATAGAGTGAACTGATGGCATTCAACCTCAAAGGGATTTGAAAACAAGGTAAAGTAATTTGACAAGAATTAAATCTAATTTTGTGGTGTTATTTGTTAGATAAGTGAAGGTGATGATGAAAAAAGAATATTGCCTCCCTCTGTGTTTTTGTTATCATCCCTACCTCAAATAGCAACCTGTTTAGGACCCCTAAAGATTTTTACATCTGGAGTAGTGTTTTTAGTTCCATTAATTATTTTGCATATATTCATTGATTACATTATAATATTTTTCATTAATTTCATGCACATTGCAGGTATAAATTCGTATACATAAAGCATAATTATGTTTAACTTAACTCACTTTACTAATAGATTTGATCACTGTTCAGGCTGCCATGGCAACAGGCACAAGTAAAACCCCTATTTTGTTCATGCCAACAACACTTCCAGGTCCTTGTGCCACACCCACAGTTCTTACAAGTCCCTCACCAGCAGCAGGCCCTGGTGGGTAGAATAATTTTCCTATTTACATTAACTATAGAATTTACACTTTATCTCTGGTCCCTTTGAAGGCA